TTTCTGTTCAGGAAGAAGCCTCATCCTCAAAAATGATAGTAGGGGATGATCTAATAACAGTTGAGATAAAGGAGATGCCGAATAATTTTTTGCTTCAAACTTGGCCTGATTACCAACTGGGGAATATAAAATGTTTCAAATGCCCTAGGCATGAGGTGCCACTCAAACAGCAGATTCCCTGGGTTTCTGCTAGATCTCCCCAAGGCTAACATTGAAATGTAAATGGTGGAGGCCTGTCCAGTTTAGAGAACTTTGGACCAGAGGGGGGGGGAAATGCACCACTTTAAATCCAAGCCACTTGTCTTTTTTAACCTGAGAATCTTTACCCAGGTATTTCAGAGCTCTCTCTATTCTTTCAATATCTGAACTGACTAATCTGAGCCAAAAAGTAAACTGCATCTTGTTTTACTAGATAGAGTAAATAATGGTTGCTTCATTTTCCCCTCAGGACTCACTTTTTTTCTCCAAATTAAAGTAATGGTAATTTTAGACTTAAATATAAAAAAATCAAATTTTACTGGGGATTTGTTTATGTAATTTAATGTTCCGTGACTGGACCTGTTATCAATAAGATATACATATGTATATATACAAACATATATATGTATATATGCATGTATACTTATATACGTGTGTGTGTGTGTGTGTGTGTGTGTGTTTGTATAATTTTATGTTACTTTTTACAATTAGGGTAGAAATTTAAATCTGTTTTTAAAAGACAATGAGCCTGATCTGTTTAAAGGTTAATATTGTGAAACATGATATTGTGTTGGATAACATTCATATAAACTCAGGAAAAAGTTCATGTAAACTTTGTAAAATGATATTTAAGAGACAAAGATCAGCTTCAGAAATAAAACAAGCTACCCAAGGTTTGTCTCACTTCACCTGAGTTAAGACTCTGCCTCTTATCGTACTCCTTGTTAAGATAATTTCACACTTAAGTTTATTTAAAGATGTGTTCAAAGGAAAAATTTTGTTATAAAGATTACTATGGTAAACAGGAGATATAATATTTAACTAAGGTTAAGACTATGAAAATTATGGTTCTTACTTCCTAGCTATTATATAAACTCAATGTTTTCACTCTAGTTAATTTTATTTTTGTGTTTTCTTTGTCAACTTTAAAATGTCATCAGTTAGTGCCTTATAGAAATACATCTTTCAATATAACAACCTAAATTAATTTGAGATAAATAGGCCACCATCTATAGACAGGATGTAAGGCTAACTTCCAGTACTAATACGAACCCCAATTAAATGGTAGGGGTAAATGACTGTAAATTTATAGACATTAAAGTAAACACCCAGGACTCTTTCTTAAGACTGATGAGACTGGCTTCCTGGATGTTTAAGACCAAGGCTTGGAGATTAAATTTAAAAAAGTAAAAGGGCTAAGAAAGAAACATAGCCAATAAATATTTGGCTCTTGCCCTCTGAGTCAACTTGAACCTAGGGAGTAAGAGAACTTCCCTAAGAGCTTTGTAACTCTGGGCCACATGAACCCCTGATCAGGGGAATCACTGAGACTCTGGAGAACAAAAAGCTGACCAGTGCACATGCTGCAAAAGGGAAGGGTCATTAGAAAAGGGAGACATCCCTGATGCTTCCAAGAGAAGTCAAATGATCAGCAAGATCCTTGCCCTATCCTGCAGAGGGCACTAATAGAGCTAAGAGGCTGCTCACAAGCTTCCAAGAGTGACTCTCTGAGTGGACTCAGCTGACTATTAACAATAGACAGGAACAAGGTCAATTTGACCAGCTTGGTCTTGAACACCTAGAAAAAATTACAACCAAGGTACAGCCATGTGTGGGAATTTAAAACATAAAACAACAGCTTTTTTACTGGAACTTAAGATGTATACTTGTGTCAGCCCCCACAGCCCTGGTGCCTCCCAAATTCTGAGGCATTTTTTTCCTTTGTGAGGCTCATATTTACCCCTGCCTATGAAAACTTGGACTGGTCTCTGTACCTTTGTCTTCCTTACTCCTCAAATTGACATTTAAACTAACAACCAATAGTTTGCCTACCCTGATAATGGCACACACCAGACACAAGAAAACCCTTCAGTTTATTCCCTTACTCATAAGGCAATAGAAAATCTGCCAAAATTGACACAGGAGCACCGGGATTAGAAACCTTTATTCACTACTACAAAAATTGTAAGAACAGGTTATTTAAGATATCCAACAGGTCGTTGAATTGGTACTGAATTTACAAAATCAATTATATTTCCTGCCATCTATCATCCTGTAGAATCATCAGGGCCTAGATTTCTCTACTTCCAAATGAGATTGTCTCTGCTTCTTCCTCTGGAAGTGTGTTGCTTCTATGTCAATCATTCAGGACTGATAAAGAATAAAGTTAGATAAATACAGGACAGATTGGAACAATAGAGGCAAGAACTAACTGTTCCTAAAACGGTGGACTTCCTGGCTTCTCCCTCTTTTAACTACTGTAATACTCATTTTTCTTATAATAAACTTTTCCCCTGCTTTTAAAACTTCTGGACAAAGTGACTTGTCTAACCGAGACCACCTCCCAAGAACATGCAGAAGTCATTCTTCTTCACTCACAACGTGACACTCCTGAGTCCCATGAGGAAGGAATCACCCACAAATATGTGTAAGTTCCCTCCTTCTACTTGCCCCCTCAAGCCACAATCACCAGGACTATATAGGAGCCTAAAATACCCCCCACCTCCTTATCCTCTTCCAGAACTCTGACATGGGATCCTCTACTGCGCCCTTTCCAGCAAGAAGTAGCCAGATATGAGGACATTGCACCCCAACTCATTATCCCCTTTCAGAGCCTGGAATGAAGGGTAAGTTTACCTATCTGTCCTCCCGCCCCAACTTAAACCCCTCCCATGACCTGGCCCCGCCCACCAAAAGGGCCTGCCCAAACTAACTCCTCCCATGACACGGTTTGTCTAAACCCGATAAAACCCAGTCCCTCCTGATGACGGGTCACCATTTTTACCCTGAAGATGTGCCCCTCTGGTGCTGAATAAAACATCGATCTTGCCAGTTTCCTTTTTCTTTTTGTATTGACTTTCATGTGCTTTCAGACAAAGGGTAAAATTATAGGGTTCACCAGGTGTATGCTACACAGCAAGATCTCCAGGCATGAGGCAACCATCAGCAACGAGAAGAGCGTCACATTCCAGGGCACCACATTTGGTGGCTTTTCACACAAGTTCCAGTACTCACGGTTGCTCAAGTAAGCCCCTCTGTGGAGAGGAAGGGTCATGTGAGAAGAGTTAATGCGGTGCCCTACTCCACCCTCAGTCCCCTGCACAGGCAGAACGGGATTTTCAAAGAGTTAGTTAGACCCCTGTGAAGGAATGTGGCACCCAGTTTCCCAAGTCTATGTGGGAAGGGCATGAGAACACCAAGATGCAGAGAATGGGGGTCATGAATCCAGGTTAAGCCTTACGAGCTTTCTTGTAAGTGGTAGGCCCACTTGGCATTCTTGGAGCACTTGGGTCCCATTCGGAGTCCAGCTGCTGAGATGAAGAGGCAGTAGATGGCACCAAGCATTCCCAAGGCCGAGAAGGAGAAGGAACGCAGAATCTGGACCGGGTGTGCAAGGTAGGCTGAATAGGGCCGCCCCCTCCCCACTCATGGCCCCACCGCGCCTAGTTCTGTCCCTGCACCTGGCCAAGCTCCTCTGGAGCCAGGTTAAATAGAGATTCGGGGGCCTGGGGAAGCCGTCCTGAAACAGTGCGCTTGAAAATACATTTTCCTATATCTGCGGGGCTTGGAGTTAAGCAAAACTAAGGGCAGTAGAGACTCATGGTGGTTAGGGATTCTGTAGAGTCTGCTGTGGCTCTGGGAGAGACTAGTTTAGAGACCAATTCTTCAATCTCTTGCTTTCTTTTCTGTGTGGTGGAGGCTCACTTGGGATTTAACCCTGGATGGGATCCACAGCTCTTTTGATTTCTTATTAATGAGAGACTATCCCCTAAATTGCTGAGGCTGCCCTTGAACTTGAGAAGCTCCTGCTTCAACCTCCTGAGTGACTGGGATCACAGGGGTATGTACCATGCCCTGCCGAATCTCTTTTCAATTTGGTTCTCACCCATTTGGGATGTCCACCTGCCGCCAGAACCACAGTGATTCCCGGACACAGAACCTGTGAGACAAGAGTGATTGTAATACTGTGAACCAAGCACCAAACCCATATCCTCAAAGTCTTCACCTCCTCTGGAAGTTGCCTATGATGTCCTCAGCCCTTTGGACTATAGGAAGAAGACCTTACCTCTACCTCTCCTGGAGCATGGCTGGGCCCTACCTTACTTTATCATTATTTATGTGCCTACCTTATCTCTGTCCATATTTTAGCTTCCTTGAGGATTGGGTTCAATATTAAACATTCCCCATAAACCTTGGCACATGGTAGGTGCCTTTCTGATTGGGAATCAGGAGGCCTGGTTGAAGGTCAGGACCACACTACTTCACTCAATGAACTAATTGGTTTCTCTGGGTCTCAGTTTGTCCTAGGTAAAATTGGTTTATAAAACGTACCTCATAGAGTTGTTCTTAGGATTTAATGGAAACTGGTGGGCCCCATATCAAGACTGTTTTAGAGTAAATGCTCCTTAGCTATAAATGCCTTCAGCAGTGGGAAGAGGTAGTGGTGGTGGAAGGTCTGGTGAGCTAGGATATGCTTGAGTATGCTCACAGATGCTGTGATGTGGAGTGTGGGATTTCCTAAGATCCAGCCCCTGAACTTTTTTTTTCCTGTGACTTTTCCCTAAGGAAGATCATTCCTGCCAGGGAATCAGGTATTCCCCTGACAATAGTTAACTGTACATGCCTAGAGAACCAAATCTAACTGCCCGAAGGATGTGTTCACTCAAGTTTCTTGGTTATAGCTCAGATTCAGCCTGTATCTGAAGTTACATCAAATATTTTCCAAATTCATCTCCCTTTGATTTGAAAAATATAATCCACGAGGTCACTTAGGCTGGAAAACTTAAACCCTTTTGCACCTTGCCAAACTCAAGTCTTCTTGACTTTTGCTTCAATGGCTCCTGAATCTATCAACCCTTTCTCTTTCTTCTCCCATTCAGTTCCTAATCACATTCCATGAGGAAGACGTTCTTAGCCTCCCTAGTCAGTCCTCTTAGCTCTTGCTCATGGAACCCCACACTTCATCATACATGCCTCCACCAGATTAACTTTGGTGTTGCCAAAGTGGTATAGGGCACACCTGTGAGCCCAGAGATCCAGGAGATTGGGGCAGGAGGATGCAAGTTCAAGAGCAGACTTGGCAACACAAGGAGACCTTATCTCAAAATAAAAAATAAAGGACTGAGGTTGTAGCTCAGTGGGAAAATGTGGCTGGGTTCAATTGTTGGTAGGGGTGGGGGGTGAGAAGGATTTTCTTTTTCTTTTTTGTATTGTTTTGGTACTGGGTACCAAA